TTTTGGCAGATGATCCAGAAGTGGTTTGCCGTTGCCTTCTTCTGTGTGTGAATGGAGTAATTGTTGGGATGCCACGGAGAAACCGGGGAAGCCCCCGGAGGAAAACTCCGTGTTGCCTAGACCACGGCCTTGCCCAACACAAGTTATAAATTCGGGCACCGCCGGGAATCGAACCCGAGACCCCAGGATTACAAGGCCAGCGTTCTAACCGCTAGACCACCGTGGCGGGTCCCAGCCAATAGGGACAGGGAATATATTTTTTCCTTTTCTATCACGTCCAAACCACCTCTAGAGTCGGCCCAACCTCTGGGGGTAAAGCGGCCGGAATCTGAAGCTGACCTCTTACCTCTATATCATTTTTTCGAGTATAAGGATGTAATAAGACTCTATATGCGCCCTCAATGCGTCGTTCGTAGGTACTGGGGTAAATTTAAGCATGAATACGTATAAACATACAACACGATGCTCTTTATGGCTGTGTGTCATGTACGAGTGACTTAAGTCATCACTGATGACGTTAGATGGCAGAATATACTATTTTACAGACACTGCAACCATTAGGCAGTATTTAGAAAATCTTTCAAAAGAGACACATGATGTGCGAAAATGATAAAGGAAGGGAAAGAATGGAGGGTAAGGGATGAAGAAGGATGATCAGGCTGGAGGGTTGGTTTGAATTCGAAATTGGAGCAGACGTCAAGCCGAATCTTTGATACAAATTTTGGGAAGTCAAATTAAGCGAAAAAGATTCTTCCTGTTTCAACAGCGGAACAGCCAACACAGCGATCGAACCTGCAGAACCTCGCTGGCTTTCTTCTTAGGATTTTCCGTAAATATTCCCTGGGTGAAACCTCTGGATCAACAACTGAGCGAATCCCACTATACAGCCCAGGTTCCCCGAGATCTAAATAAGTACCTAAGTCCAACTTTGCCTTCGATATCCCACTGATACAAAAAAGGATCTATTTCTGAGACCCAAATCGGGCAACCCCGAGTGTAAGTAGACGATTACAAGTCTAAGAAGCACTTTGTCATTGTTATGTTTGCTTACTGCTTGTTACCTTGGAAACTAGTCCCTAAATCTTTGCTAACTCGACCCACTTATGTCTAGGCTTCGCCAGGTAGTTACCTCTTTTGATCTGTATCTCTTATTCGCTTTTATGAAAGCTAATACTTCGTGATTTTATTCAGTATCGCGGGTGTCTGTAAGTGGATTAATACAACAAAATTTACTCTTAGATATGATTAATCCTGATTTTGAGAGCTGGTCATATCAAGGAATTCCAAAAAAATTTTTTAGGCCCGAAGGCACATTTTGGTGTTCACAGAAATGCACCATTTGATTCTTATCTAAGGTAAATTTTAATATTATCCTCCTATAGATACACATTTCTTCCAAGTTGTTTCTCAACCACTTCTGGTTAGGCAGAGCGATCAACAAAGTCACGCAACTCATTCCTGAAACTTGCTTTACTTGTCAGAAGCAAATTACATCGATATCAGAAAACAAAAATAATGTTATATGAAGCGTTGAAAATGTCTACCGCGTTTAGCGATAAATCAGATTCTCTCTTCTCCTCGTGCTAGTTGAAACCCGGCGAAGAGTTTCTGAAGGTACCTTTAAAATACACAACTCAGTGTTTTGTTTTCATACACGTTGTCCTTCAAACAACCCCCCCTCCCCTAGATAGAAATCCGTTGGCGACTTAGGGGCCACCGATTTCGATAGCTGATTCGATCATGAAACATCCGCGTTAACATCTTCATCGTTTGCTGAATGCGCTGTAGCCCAATCTTGCTGAAACAAGCAGTCAGATTCGAAAACTTCCAAGTGTGAAGTGAAATTCATAATCAGTTCCTGGTAACGTTCAGCTACCATCATTTTACTGAAGAAAATTGGATCATTTATCCTCTGTCGACAGACATCCACACCATAATCCGGTCTTTCACGGAAGGTTTTGCGGATTTTCAGCACTCCATATTCTACTGTTTTGGCTATTAACCTGTCCGCTTAGATGGAACGATGCGTCATCCCAAAAAAACTTAATCTAAAATGTTCATATCCTCTCGAATGAAGTGTCTGAACCATCTGCAGTACTGAAGACGTTTCACGTTACTAAGTTCTTATCAGTCCGTGCATGACATGACACGATTTGGATGAAGTAACAAAGATTGACGGATATCGACCAAACATCGAAGTTCTACAGTTATTATAGATTTGTTTTGAACAGGAGAAACGGAGAAATGCATCCCTGAACTAATTCTTACATGTGCGACAATGAACCCTCGCTGCACTTTTGAAAAAAAGACATCCTCGCACTTCGACTGTCGAAAGACAACTGACGGTCTGTGCGCGAGCAGGTTACAACATGGCGTAAACTGCGTGGGCTCTTATACAGTCGTAGCGATGTTGAGTGGTTATTAATCGAGTCGAAACGTAATGATTTGCAACCGTCAATAAATATTTAAAAAATGGATGGCGTGACTACTCGATCACTCTCTATTTATAAATTATGCCGTGCCACACCCAACCAAGGCTGCTTATTCTTGATATGAGTACCACAACGGTATTAGACGCTGAGTATAAAATACGATGATTTTCGTTATGTTGGTCACATTGGGATGTTGGTAACACGCTGCCGAAAAGAAAAAAATATGCATAATATTGAGTAAATTATGGGACTTTTAAGAATATTGGATAATGAGATTTATAATTTGTGGGCCATTTAATAAGCATGGGGGATTTAAGGAATGATTCTATAATTTTAGTCTGAAAGCCTGGAAGGAGGAGAATAATTGAAGTACCTAGACGTAGAAAGGATAATATTAAAATGGATCTTAAAATAATGTGAGAGGACGTCGAATTGATTTATATAGCTCGGAATAAGGCCAATAGCGATCTCTTTTGAATAAGGTAAAGAATATTAAGCAGGAAATTGTTGCCAACAGAGCGATCAAGTTCTTCTAAGAAGTACTGTTCCGTTGAGTTAGCCTCCATTGTGTGGTTTTCTCTGCTCTCATGTCACTTAAATCTTGTGTCTAAAGAAATAAGGCCACGTGACGTGGATTCTATCCACCGTGCTGTTGTATCATTAATAATGGCTCCATTGGCACAACAGCTGTTGTACCAGAGTGTACTTAGAAACCTTAACTTTTATAAAAGTTTGTCAAAGTTATTTACAATTTAACGACGGGCCAGTGGGTGGATTATATTGACGACAATTTGTCAGTTAAGTCCTGAGTTATTTCAAGCCAGGTAACATCTTCATGCATGCTACATGTACCGCTCAATATACCATTTTTTATTTTATCGCAAGATGCCAGATAATTTTAGATAATGATTCTCCTTAATTCGTAATTATTTATACTCAAGTTGTTTTGTCACTGTAAAATTTATCTTCTTTATATTGTTTTGTCATTATCTCTGACGTACTGGGACGCGCTTTGGACTGATTTAATTGTGAAAAAGAATTCGTTTAACCTTCAGAAGTGTACCATTAACAGGGGTCGGCAGTTTCAAGGCTCCTACCTACACAATACACATTAGAACACAGAATAATCTGTACTTAAACACACCCACACACTTGTGTTCAAGCAGTCCGAGACCCACACGCCAACGACTGTCCGGACACTTTGGCATAATAGTTAAACGTAGTGTTTAATACAGGGTGTTTAAATAACCATTGTTCAGTATCAAGCAGCGTGTGCGAAATGGGGAACTTTGAAAGTGTAAACAGAAAATATATCTCATCAACGTGGCTACAAAGTTATGAGGCCTTCTCGTATCAGGCGGATAAAATTCGTGTTCCCAGGAATGGTTTGACCCGAGAGAGGTCAACGTCTTTAATCTCGTCCTCAGCTTTTTGGTTGGTTGGTACATAGTTACGTCATAGCCATGATATGAAGACGAATATGGTCCCTAAAAATGTCGGCAATTTCTCACCAACTGACGCTGACCAACCAAAGGACGACACCTGATAACCCAAGATTTTATTAATGTCAGTCGTTTTGAAGCTTTAAGTTCATACAAAATCGACATATTTCGATTTGCCTCTCATATAAAGCATGTGGTGAATGAAGCTTATTCGAATCAAAATTAATAAAAGTTTAAAAGCAATAGAATGTTTTGGTGAGAACCACAACTTGGAGCCATGGTTGGAACGTCTAGGACCAACGTTAAACGGTATCGAGAAGGCTCTGTATCTGGAATCAGAAAATCATAACGCTTTGATCAAGAAGGCGGTGGCTTTGTGAGACGTGGGTTAATTCGAGACGTTACAGATTAAGGACAAAACCTCCAGTCTTCGATGAAGGTAAATGTTGGTTGGTTGTTATATCTTGGTTTATTTCATTAAATGAAATTGTGATGAGGAAGTGTTTTGTCGTCTAGTATCGATGTAGTCTGTGATCAAACTGTTATAAGGAGTTTTATCTGATTTCAGCACTTTAAATATTGCTTTATTAGCATTGGATGTTTATATAAATATTAAAAGAATTTTTTTAAAAATGATTTTACGAAGTATTCGCATAAAACATTATCGATGCGTTCTGTTTCCGCACCATTGTACAAACGTTCTGGGTCTGTTCTGAATTCACCTGTTTCAGTTTTCAGATCGACTTAGGCGTGCAGAACGTTACCACAGTTTTCAGTTATGGTTGTGGACAGACATAATCAGTTCCTCGATTTCCATGGAATCCTCACCTAGGTCTAACTGTGGTTAGCAGTGCTCGGTTCTCCTGAACTCCCGCTCAACACCTACTGTTCTAAATATATTTATTTTGTACAGTCTATACACAAACGTTTGAAGTTTATTGGATTAAGAGCGCTAATATAATATTTTACACAACAAAATGTTTTAATATTATATAATTTTTACAACACCAATAAACTTCAAACGTTTGTGTATAGACTGTACAAAATAAATATATTATCATTAAGTTTACTGACCGCTCCTGTAATTGAAATTATAATCATGTGTGCGAAGGGAATAAAAAGAAACATACGATGTTTGAAGAATATTCATACAATTGCATAGTCATTTTGCATTCTTGCGTTATGTGCTTTTGAATATTTTTAGCCACGCTTCCGGCGAGGAATATATGTGTGTTCCCACATACATCGTACACTCGGTTCGTTCCGCACTCCACATTTCGCTGTGTGTCATTTCGGAGATGAAAAAGTGTTTCTGCAACGTGATGCTCGTATTTGTAACGGATATATATTATAATATACAGCACTTGTAATATAAACTGATTATTTAAAACAATGTTTATGAAAGCAAACGAAATATTATCGGCAGATTTATTAGGTGTTTTGGCAAACGGTTCATACAGCGACGATGTCTTCTGGGTTGTTAAGCCGCGAAGTCTGGTAGAAATTTACGGACGTTTCAGGGGTGCTTCCTGCCTCCATAATTAGAGCATCCGTCGTATTATTGATGTGGGGAGCAGACGTCTCTGAAACGTCGGAAAACTTCTACTAGACTTCATTCATACTCGCTGCCTTGAGAAACTTACATCTGACAAATCACAAAGCATTTAGACATTTTGTTTCGTTATAAAATCTAGAAATTTACGTCACAGTGAAATGTTTTTGGTTGGTCTTAAGCCATTCTTGGACTGTTTATTTCCATGACAAGTATTCATTTCAAAAGCTTTTTCATCAGTATCTGTTGTTTTGTTGTCTCAGATACGTTGATGTATCTTGATCTTTGCTGGTCTTAACGCATGATTGACTTATCCTACGGCGGTCTGAATGACACAGGTACTTAACTGTAGCACATTCATTGACGTCGGTCTTACTGATGCTGTACCAATGGTTTTACAAAATTTCATGTCAATGAATGAGACCCGCCAGAAATGACGAATTTATTTCCTTCCGACGAAATCCATTAATCACGTACGTGGCCCCCTGTCAACTACCAGTCCTGACATCATCTCTATATTTACTCTCATATCAAGTGGACATCGAAAAAAGTGCGTGTATTTGTGTTTGCGGGGGTTGGGAATGGGGGTTAATACGGACCGTTATTTCAGAGATACTTCAGTTCAAAGTAGGCACCACAGATCTTCGCTTTGAAGGATGCCTGTGGACGTTTGAAGCATTAATTTTGATTATTGAAGGGCCTTCAGTATACTACTACAGTATTTTTAAATATTTTTTTAATCGTTTCTCAAATATTGAGAATTGCAAGGCGTAATTATAGACCGAACTCTCTCGTTCTCTGCTGCTTATGCAAAAATTCTTCCGGGCACTCGAAAACACTTTCGGGTCGAACCTGGTGCCCGCGGGTCAGTGGTTGATGGATGCTGGCATCGGTAGTAATATCAAGATGGCGTTTATTCCGTTCCAAAAATATGACTCGGTTTTGTGAAATCAGGTAGTGGCAGTCTTCGGGAATTATTTATTCTTGCTCGTCTAAACCAGTGGTATGCAACCTGGGGTACGCGAACATATCTTAGGGGGTACGTGAAATTAAAAAAAATTATGATAAACACTGAATAATCAGTAATGTAATTTATTTAATTTATTTTAGATGTAGATTATATACTACGTATAACTTGAATTATACACCAACAACTTTGGGGGTACAAAGTTGAAGAGAAATTATATCTGGGGGTACGCGAAAACATCTTAGGAGGTACGTGAAATTTAAAAAAATATTATTTTATGATAAACAATGAATAATCAGTAATGTAATTTATTTAATTTATTTTAGATGTAGATTATATACTACGTATAACTTGAATTATACACTAACAACTTTGGGGGTACAAAGTTGAAGAGAAATTATATGTGGGGGTACGCGAAAACATCTTAGGGGGTACGTGAAATCTAAAAAAATATTATTTTATGATAAACACTGAATAATCAGTAATGTAATTTATTTAATTTATTTTAGATGTAGATTATATATTATGTATAACTTGAATTATATTCTAACAACTTTGGGGGTACAGAGTTGCAGAGAAATTATATCTGGGGGTACGTGAACAAAAAAGGTTGAACACCACTGACCTAAACCACGTTTGTCAAAATGGGCGCAATTCTAAAATTTAATTAAGATATTTTATCCTCGCGATGTTCAGACTGTTCTCAGTGTATCAAGATTTAATGAGTGAAGTGTGTGTAAAAGGCGACTAGTTAAGGTACAATTTGGCTGCACGCGACAGAGACAAGCGACCGAGGCAGGCGACAGAGTTACGAGACCGAGACTGGTCGCTTCCTATCTGCTCTCTGTACAATCGTATGAAGTACAATTACGAGCGCGAGACAGAGACAGGCGACAGAGACAAAGCACAGGAGACCGCTCTCGGACCAGTAGTGTCTCGCGACGGGCTCAGGCAGCACGTGTGTTGTTGAGTAAAATAATGGCAGAAATTAAATTTACTGGTGACCAAGATGAGCAATTGGTAGAATTAGTAGCAGAAAACCGACCACTGACCACCGACAGAAAGATCCTTCTTCACGTCTGGTTTTGAATATTGAACTCGTAGGTTTTCTTTGTTTCTTTCGCAACAAATAACACAGCAACACATCATCTTCTTCTTATTCTTCGAGTAACCTTTTTAGAAGCATTTTTGTACTCATTTTTCACAGAATATGTGCACGTATGTCTCAACAAAACAAAGAAAACAAACACTTTGCCGCATGTCTCGGTCGTCACCTCAAAAGTGTGTGGCGACAAGCTGCGATGTGTCCGTCTCCCGTCTCTGTCGCCTGCCTCGGTCGCT